CTATGCAGATTGCGTCTATTGCTTTGCCCTGGTCGAGTTGTGTCGTCCATATGTTTTTGCAGTGTAAGAGTTGCAGATTACAGGATAGTTTTTTTCTGAAACCAAATTGTTTATTGGAGAGTAGGTTGTTTGTCTCTAAGTGGAGGATGATGGATTGGTTAATAATTGATTCCATGACTTTACAGGTGACGCAGCATAAGGAGATTGGTCTGTAATTTTCAACTAGGCTTGGGTCTCCCTTTTTGAAGATGGGGATGACTGTGGCTTGTGACCATAGTTTTGGCAAGGGGCTGGTCCTGAAAGATTTTTCAAAGATTATGCTTAGAGGTTTGGCTATGGCAGTGGATAGCTTTTTTAAGAAGTAGGCACATATTCCATCAGGTCCAATAGATAGAGATGGTTTTAGATTGCGTAGTGCTTTTTCAACATTGTCTTCTGTAAAATCGATATGTATCCTAAGATGAGCAGTATAAATTTTCTTTAGCTTTCTACTTTTCTATTTTTAATCAATTTCTCCAAAGCAACTAATTATCACATGTGCTGCCTTATGGGAATCAGTGAATTTCTGCTGCTAATAGCTGATAATCTGGGAATTAGAAAATATATGCATGAACGGATGGCAGAAGACCTGTATGCAAAGAATGAATTCATTTTAGTTAAATTTATTGCCTTCATTTCCCCAAATAATTTATTACTTATTTATGACACATGGAGTAAAATGTGTATATAAAATGGATATAAAACATAACCTGAACCTTGTATTCAGCTTGTGTTTTCTGAGATTGTAGGTGCCACTGATTGCATCTGTCTACCTCAGAAGTGTTATTTTTGTCAACAGCACAAATTGGTTTTCTGTCAGTGACTATTGGTACAATTGGAGGAGGGAGTAGTATCTTCTGACCTGGAATTAGGCAATTAGACTGTTTTTCACACTTGCAAATTTTGCAGCACCCCCATGGTCATATAATAAAATTCAGATGCTTGGCATCTGATTCATATTTATGACGGTTGGTTTGTCCCGGGATCCTGTGATCGCATTTTGTAACAGCAAAGTCGGTAGGAAAGCCAGATTCATTTAATAACAGTGTGACTAACTTAACAACTGCAGTGATTTACTTAACAACTGTGGCAAGAAAGGTTGTAAAATGGGGCAAAACTTACTTAACAAATAAGTCACGTTACGTAGCAACAGAAATGTTTGGCTCAATTGTAGTCAAAAGTCACAGACTATCTATAATTGTTTCTTTTGAAACCGGCTCCAGAACTGGCTGCTAACAGCTGCTCATTCTTAGCCCTTTTTCTTTTGCGCTCCCTTATTTCCATGCCAGAAATAGCATTGAGTGTGTATTAATTCACTCCTCCAATGGAGTTCCAATGTGGATTTACAATATCATTTCATAGGCCCATTCATAATGACGTGGTTGTATGTTCGTTTTTGTGAATGGGTATAAACAGAATCCTTTTTATACCTTGCTTTGTTTATTGCAAACGTGATAAATAGATTTACTTGTACAGATATGTCTTTTATTTGGGGAACCAAGTCTTACCTTTTATGGAGCAAATGATGGGATATGATACTGTGTAGAATTTCCTGCTCTTATCTGCAATTGCAGAAAAGATGCCTTTTCAATCTGTCTCGTTTCTCAGTTTAGTTCATTTGATTAATCTTGGGAAAAGACTGCTCCTGCATTGACAAATCCGGTCAATTCAGTCCCATTTACTAATGACTTATTCTGTTAGATCTGCCCCTTTGGGACCTGAGAGGCAGAATGCATTCTGTAGGGGAAGAAACATAAAGAACATTTTGCAGGCCATATTATTCAGGGAAACTGCTCTATCTTTTTATTTTGACTTGATAGTAAGCATTCAGTGAGCAGTGCTATGTGCACATCCTTTGTGTGTGTGCTTGTGTGCATGTACTGTACATGTGCACACAAGTATAAACTTTACAGAATGTACATTTGTTCCCTTCATACAATCCACCTAACAACCCCCTAAATTTAGGTGATGAAGAAAGGCTGTGTTTACATATACACTAAACCAAAGACTGCTGTGTCATCTTACCCAAAATTTATGGTTGTTGTGTTGTACAAACTTATAAATTACAGTAATTTGAATGCAGCTTTAATTTAATTATTTTTAAAATTTATGTTGACATGCAAAATGCCAACAAGAAAAAAGATACTGATTGCTTCATTGAACAAAAAAAGTCCCTAGATATTTTATAATCATTAAAAATTTGATAAAGGAAAACTAATTAACAAAGGCGGAAAGATTGATATAATAACCAGGCACATAAAATGAATTCAACCCTTAAACTTATTATTAAATCCAGGCTGTATAAATATTTCTTCATCTTATTTTTAGGACAAAAGACATTTTGAAAAATAGATAGGAAACTTATATCCTGATCCATTTTTAAATATTTTTGAGTGTCCAATACAACATATTATTTTTGATGAATTAATTTAAATTATAAATTATAAAAAGTGTGCTTTACATTTCTTAACTCATGAACCCATTAAAAATGTTGGATATTCCAATTCTTTGTCTATAACTACAAAGATCAAAAGTTATTTTTTCATCACTATCATAATTGTGAATTGTTGCTGTCCAAGGCTGTCAATAAACAAGGTTTATTTGTACCACATAGTGTTGGCTGATTTATAATTATTAAATTTCCCAGTTGTAGTCACTAAAGCATGGTCTGAGATTGCAGTAGAACACATTGAAGAATCCCTAAACTGATCCACCAAGGCAGAACAAATGCAAATATAAGCTATCGAAAATCTTCTGACAGACCTAAATTGAAGTGCAATCTTCAGCATAAATTATATACTGGTAGTTTGTAGAATATAATTTTTTAAAAAGCTTTGAATTATTTCAGTAATATTCTTAATGAGCTAAGCAATAATGACAATAGCTATCTTTGTCATCACAAAAATAATGAATCTTTCAAGTTCTAGTGTTGATATACCACATGAGTTTTAGATTGCTTTTAGCTACCTATATGCTTTATTTGAATATCAATTAATATTGGTTTGTCCATTCCCAATCCTAGGTCTCAAAAAGAAATTTAATTTGATAGAATATGTATTTCTTGAAAAGTAATGTTCTAAGAACATATAATTGTAGTTTGCTGCAACTTGTCCCTTTTTAATAGCTAACACTATAACTGTTAATCAACAGAGAAATGCAAATCCTATAAAGATCCATGGTGGCAAAAGCTATTGTAAATCTTTTGATCTCATGTCCAAGAAGAGGCAAAAAAAAGATTTTTTGTAAATGGGGTTCTAGATAAAACGTAACTTTACATACATGATATTTCAATTTGGTAGTTTGTCTTGAAAGATGTAAAAGCTGGTCTCTGGTATTATAATGTATTGGTTATAGAGGAAGACATAGGGGAGGATTTCCTGAATGCAGTCTTCCATGTAATTAAATAAAGATTTCTGCTGCTCAGTATCCACAGTAGATTGTTTTTAATTATTTCTACTGAGTTGTCCATGTATTTTAATTAGTACAGTTTGTAGATTTGTAATACATTACATGAGATCTTTTTCTTCTAAAATCTTAATTCAGTAGCAATAATTCTCTTCAAAGTTTCCAAATCTTTTTCAAATTAACAAACATGCGCTTTTCTGGTTTTAACATTTCCATGGATTATAAGTATGCCAGTTTCCAAATTTGTGAATGTATTGTCTGTCCATTGTTTAGAAATTGATTGGATTTTTACCATTAATTGAAAAGTTCGTTGTCATCCCTCCTCAAGATAGCAGTACATTAGAGAATCATTTCGATATAGAGGATAGGATAGAATAAAAACTTTATTGTCACTTTAAAAGTACACTAATCAACATACTTTAAAATGAAATTTTGTTGCATTCAACTCTCAAAAGATAACCATTAGGCATATACCCACATACACACACATATATGATGCAAAGAAACATCACAGTCTAATTGGGATGTATACATGGCAAAAAAAATAATAATCCTGCGAGTTTACAAGATGGATGGCATAAGGAACAAAGCTGTTGCAGAATCTAGTAATCCTGCTATAGAAACCCCCTCCCAGAGAGGCACAACAGAAAAGAGCATGAAGTGGGTATATGGGTTCTCTAACAATCCTCTCCTGATTGTAAGGACCAGGCAGGCCGCTGTGGAAGGAAGTAATATATAATACTATATAATAAACAACTGTGTTGAGAGAAAGCTCACTTTACAGTACAGTATTTACCAAATTTCAGTTTCTTTAGATTTCATTTGCAATAACTTTGATGCCCACCACACAGGATAGAGAAGATGAGAATTGCAGCCCAACATTTATGGGGTTAAATTAGTGAAAATTGCTGCAGAAGGCCACTAATATCTTATGTTCTGGTATCTCTATTTTGTTGGTTTCATTACATTTAACAGAGAACAGATGGAAGAGGGATAAATAAGTTTTCTAGTTGTAGAGTAAGAGAATTCTGGTGGCAATGTTTTTCCTTTTCTTCTTTCTAATTTCCCATCATATTTAAACATTTTATTGCTTTTATTTGAAAATCTTATAAACAAAAACAGTGGGTGGTTAGATAAAGGGATATGATAAAAGATGGTACTTTTCCCCTTTCTTCTTTCCCACTGGGTCTCAAAAAAAGTTTCCCTGCTTTGATGCAAAGTGTTTCCTATTTATGGAATATATTCTGCAGATTCTTTAGTAAATTATTTTAGTTGTTGTTGTTAGGTAATTCTGTTTACATCATAGCATCAGAGCAACAAGGAGGTCACAGATCACCTCAGCTTTAGCATATTAATTATATTAATGTGGTTTATTCTAATTTTTTTTTCTTTTGCTTTCTCCAGGGAATATTATTGTCTATGGGAATACAATTGATGTGTACACCACCATAGAATCCCTTTTATCATTGGGAATTAGTGGCTATTGTATACACCTTGTACACCCTCCCTCGAATTCTAATATTACTTCTCTCAATAACAACGCAATAGAAAGAGCTATCAAGAAAGCACTGTCCAGGTCTGGTGTAACTGAACACCATGATAGTCTATTGGCTCAGTGGAATGATGGCAATTACCCAGACCCAATCACATGTGCATCTTTCACAACAAATACAAAGCCATTTCAGTTGCAATGTTCTGTAAGTATGTACCTTTGCTGCATTTGATATATATATATAGATATATATAAATTGAACATAAATTGAATTCTACAATTCTGCTTTTGGATCTTGCTAGGCTGAAACCTAGTTTGAACCTCAGGCACGAATCATATTTTAATCTGATTATCCTATGTTTTAAGTTTTAAGCATAACTGTATTGATTTGCTCAATCTTACAGAATAAGCTAGTTTTGTCTTATAGAACAAAATTATACTTTGGCGTTTGGGAGAAATCTGAAAAAAGTATTCTATCTTTCATACATACATTTTCCAATAATTTTGTGCAGATGATGTATACCAAACCCAATTTTTAAAAAACCTAGCAGATTATTTCATCCTCCACCCACAAAGTCCTTTTGCATTGTTTTATCATGGTGAGAGGGTGAGCAAACAAGAATACATATTTTCAACACATCACCCAAGGGGTAAATGTCATCCCAATCACCTGGATAAAATAAGCAGTCTCTATATAGGACAGCAGCAATATAGGAAGATGGCAGCAGCATACGATCAATTTATTAACAACGGCAAGGGCATTATTTCATACCACGCAGGAATAGGCAATGCTAAACCATTCCTGTGTTTTACTAAGAAAACTATATGGATGGAAAATATAGCATGATTTATGTGCTGGGTTATGAGCTGAGAGACAGCTAAGGACATGTCAGAGTCAGGGTGGCATATAAATGTAATAAATAAATAAATATCCAAAATAGCTTAAATAATATTCACTACTTACAAGAATTTTTACTAGTTTACTTTACTAGTTTACTTTTTTATTGTCATTGCACCTCGTACAACGAAATCAAACACTATCTTCAGGGCACATCATGGCCATAACCATGAAAATAAACACAAACACACACCCTTCACCCTTCACACATTGAACTGAAAACCCCGGACACCACACCAACACTGCACTATACAGCAGAATTCAAAAGAGCTACTGCCCTGGGATAGAAGCTGTTTTTCAGTCTATTTGTCCTTGTTTTTATTATTCTGTACTGTCTGCCAGATGGTAATAGTTCAAAAAAGGGGTTCCCATGATGAGATGGATCTTTGAGAATGTTTTGAACTTTCTTAAGGCAGTGGGAGCTATAAAGCTCTTCCAAAGAGGGGAGAGGGCAACCAATGATCCTCTGAGTAATGATGTTAACCCTCTGGAGTGCTTTCCTATCTGCCACTGTGCAGTTGGCAAACCATACAGAGGTGCAGTATGTTAAAATGCTCTCTATGGTGCAGTGGTAGGAAGTCACCAGCAGTTTTTCATTCAGTTGTTGTTTTCTGAGAAGCCTCAGGTAGTATAATCTCTGCTGGGCCCTTTTGAGCAGGGCTGCAATGTGGGCACCCCAGGTCAGGTCCTCTTTTAGGGTAACACTCAGAAACTTAAAACTGGCCACTTGTTCCACTCAGTTTCCATTGATAAGCAAGGGCTGGATGTCTGATCTGTTCCTTCTATAATCCACTATAAGATCCTTGGTCTTATTGGTGTTGAGGACCAAGTTATTGTCTCCACACCACGAAAGCAACCGGTCTACCTCATCTCGGTAGGCAGACTCATCCCCCCCAGAGATAAGTCCCACCACTGTTGTATCATCTGCAAATTTAGCAATAGTATTACTAGCATGAGTGGGAATGCAGTCATGCACATAAAGAGTATAGAGTAAGGGACTCAACACGCAACCCTGTGGTGTACCAGTGTTAAGAATAAGGGCTGAAGAGGTATGATTACCTAATCTGACCCTCTGTGAGTGGCCAGACAGGAAATCCATAATCCAAAGGCAGATTGAATTAGAAAGCCCAAGGTCCAGAAGTTTAGACATTAATCTATGTGGAAGAATTGTGTTAAACGCAGGACTAAAATCCACAAAAAGCATCCTCACATAGCTCCCCCGATGTTCTAGATGAGTCAGAGCAGTGTGAAGAGTGATGGCTATAGCGTCCTCTGTAGATCTAGTTTTTCTGCATGCAAACCTGGTGTTTATCAAATGTATGCGGAAGACCAGAAAAGATGTGTTGGCAGACCAATTTCTCAAAGCACTTCATGATGATAGGAGTAAGTGCCACTGGTCTGTAATTGCTGAGGTTATTGATAGGGAACTTCTTTGACAGCAGAACAATGGTGGAAGCCTTCAAACAAGATGGAATAGTGGACTGGGATAAAGACCAATTGAAGATCCTGGTAAAGATTCCAGCCAACTGATCAGCACAGTCTTTAAGTACTCGGCCAGAGATACCGTCAGAACTGGCAGCCTCTCTAGGGTCCACAGCCCTCAGAATGCTCCTCACCTCCTGTTCCTCCACAATGAGCTGGGGGCTACAATTGGCTGGTGGTTGTACAAGAAAATGAAATAATATCTATACTATGGTTGTAACCAGGCTGGACAGCTAGGAAATAATAGACAGAAAAATATGGCAAGCAGTAGAATCAGGATGAGTGTTGGTTCTAACCAAATTATGCCAGCAAATCCAGACAGTGGGAAATAAATTGGAAGAAATTCACATCTCAGCACCAAATAAAGAAGCTATCATACCTATCCCTAAATTCACATACTAGCAAACGCTATTTGGAAAGGAAGATGCCAGATGTTCTTTTTTTTAAAGAAAAAATAGCATTTTTAAATACAATAAAAACTATAAAAATGGAAAAAAGATAAAAAGAGAAGACCCTGCTTTCTATTCTTTTTCCTTCCTCTTTTTTTCTCATACTTTGTAATTCCCTTCCCCTTTCCTTTTAACCCTTTTTATTCCCCCAATCCCTAAATCATCAATTCAATATTTCCTACTTTCTACAGAAAGTCCATAAAAGGTTTTTAGTCTTTCAAAAAAACAGTATCATTTTTTTTTTCATGGCAGCAAAATAATCCTTAGGTTCACCCAACAGGAAAATAGAGATGCCAGATATGCAATCTGGTTTTAGAAAAGGCTGAGGAACTGATGCATACTGGATAATTAAGAAAACCAAAGATTAGCCAAAATAAATGAATACATACAACTCATTAATTATAGAAAGGCCTTCAGTCATATCAATCGTGTCCACTTGTGGAATGTGCTTGGAAAAATGGGAATCCCAGAACATTTCATTGTCTTCATGTGAAACCTATATGCAGATCAGGGAGCCATAGTATAGACAGGACATGACAAAACTGACTGGCATTATGTTGGCAAATGAATAAGATAAAGCTGTAAAATATAGACATACATTGATTGATTCAGTCAGTCAGTCAGTCAGTCAACCTATATGTGAAGTATATACAAAAGAAAGCTGAACTGGAAGAAAATGAGCATGGTTTTAAAACGAGAGAAAGAAACATCACGGACATACTGAAGAGGCAGATAGCTCAACTGATAGCTATCTAACTAGATAGATGATCATCTGTCTGCTAATTAGAATCAACAGTACAGAAGCCAGCAGTCAAGAAATATACTGCAAACTAGTGCTTGGTTGAGCAGCCATTAAGGCCATGGAAAATATATTCAGCATGTGTCTATACCTACAAAGATCAAATTATGCAGATAATGGGTTTCTCTGTTTTCTGCTTTATAGAGGTAACTGTTTGAAGAAGCAGGATAGAAAGATTATTGCTTCTTTTGAACTTTGGTGTTTTGATAGCCAGATAAATAAATAAATAGATTATCAAATAAATCAACCCTGAAGCACAATGTCCAGCCTCAACTTATTATAGTTTGGATACATTATGCAAAAGCCTTGTTTTCTGGAGTAGTCTGTAGTGCTGGGAAAGGTGGAAGGAAAGAAAAGGGGATGTTCAGCAACAATGGGTGCAATATTGGAAGATCTGAAAGACCAGCTTCGGGACAGGTCCTCCTAAAAAAAAAATCTATTTTGCAGTGCAAAATATACACATGTTATAGGAAGATTAAATTAGAAAAGTAAAAATTCATGAAATTGATCAATATGGCAAGGGTACTGGAAATCTAAGAAAATAAGCAATAAGGAACAATATATTCTATAGATTCAATGTGCCCAAACTCATTGGGATATAAGAATTCTGAAAAAGAATGTTCTACCTTTCAGAGCTCCAAGATGCCCATGATAAGCTTCAGAGATTATTAAATAGAGATTTTAGAAAAGATGTCTTTTTAAAAAAAGAATCTGGCTTGCTCATAACCAAAGAAAAGCCGGTAGAAAGGAGAGAGTCTTAATAAAGCTAATTTTGCTGATAGGATCAGAATCTATCCTTCGCTGATAAAAGAACTAAGCTCATTGGGAAACATGTTAATCCTATCCAGAGGATACTTATGCCCAGAACTCTAAACTATTTTCACCAAATAGGATTGGAGTACTACATCATCTTTTTTTGCATCTTCTTACATTTTTTCTTATATCCTTTTTTCCATTTGATAAATTGGGAGGTTAACCTACTATTTCTATATCAAGACATACTTTTCCTGCAATATCTATACTTTCTTCAATGTCTTTTTTTCTTAAATTCCATTTTTGACACTATCAAAAATGGCTCATCTCACATTCAAAACCTGCCATCACCCTTGCATCTTTCACTAATCATTCATAATTAAACAATAACATCAGTTGGGTTCTTAGCTTTATATTGATTCTTTTTCCATGTGTACATATGAATAGACATATTGAAACAACATACTGCAACAGTCGTAAGTGTGAAAAATGGTCATAAGTCACTTTTTCAATGGTCACTCCACACAAGCAAAGTACCAGCAAAGGAGGGGGGAAAAAACTCCAGAGAAGTTCCTGAGACAGGAAGTCTAGTCCTGCCAAGAATGTAATAAGGGTTAATGGAGAGGCAGTTTCTGTAAGCAACATCAGAATGTTTCCTTCCTGCCTTCCTAACAGGATTAGGCCAGTAATTTCTTCTAACAACCGGTTCTCCGAACTGCTTAGAATGTTAACCGGTTCTAGTGAATAGGTGCGAACTGGTAGAATCCTATCCCTGCATATAATGTATCTATGATAAAATTGCATGATAAATTACACGTAGACCTTGCTTAGCAATTGTCCTGTTTAGCAACTGTTTGAAGTTACAGCAGATCCTCACACTTACAAACATCTCAGTGTTCCCATGGTGTCATAATTGACATTTGGGCACTTTGTAATTGACAGGCATTTACAACCATCCTGGTATCCTACAGTCACATGATTATAATTTGCAGTTTAAACCCTGCTTTCTATAAGCAGAGTCAACGTAGGAACCAACAATAAAATCGGAAGTAGTGATCATGTGATGTCTTGCTTAAGAACTGAGGCAGAAGCAAAGTCACAAGTCCATCATGGTCACATGATGTCTTTCTTAACAACAGCATTGCTTAGTGATGGAGCTTCTAGTCCAATTATGGTACAGGTAGTCCTCAACTTAAAATAGTTCATTTAGTGGCTGTTTGAAGTTACAGTGACACTAAAAAAGTGAGTTATGACCATTTTTCACACTTTTGCAGAATCCCCATGGTCATGTGATCAAAATTCAGATGCTTGGCATCCAATTCATATTTATGATGTTTGCTGTGTCCTGGGTTCATGTTGCGATCATGTGCAAAGTCAATTGGGAAGCCAGATTCACTTATTGTGTGTTACTAAACATTTGTGGCAAGAAAGATTGTAAAATGGGACAACTTAAAAATGTGTCACTTACCAACAAAAATTTTGGGCTCAATTGTGGTCGTAAATCGCAGACCACCTGTACTTGTATTTGTTTTTTCATTTGAACCAACAACCAGGTCATACTTTCTGAAATATATTTTAACCTTCTCATTTGTAATTACACATATACCTTCTCTTCCATAAATATATTCATCAGCTCCGCTCCACAAGATTATATTGCTTATCTATTACATCTTTCACAACTAAACTTTTTTCTTCAATTTCCATTTATTACTTCCTGCTGTTAAATATTTACTCTTTATGTCACAATCTTCCATTGTCATGGTTGTCATCAGCTCATCTTGATCTTTTTCACTCATTATGGGTTTGGTCAGTTGAGGCTTTCATTAATTGATGGAATAAATAGTTTAGGTTACTAGTCTTAATTATACCAACACTCCACACAATATACAGCGCTTTGCTAATGGAAAATTCACTAACGGTAAGTTTAGTATATTTTGTCTAGTATGCTGCAAATGCACCCAAAGCCCTGTTTTATCCCATGCAAGCAATATACTTTGTTTATGATCTACCTACTGGAAAGTGCCTGCATTATACTGATATAGGGAGGATACCTATCTGCTTTGAACATGAAACATTCTAAAAACTAAACTTAATTATTTAATTAAGAACTCATCTATGAGTGACTAGAAAGTTACTAAAATATTCTTTACTTTATTTCTTTCAATTTGTTTTAGGCATTCTTTAACTTTACCAAAAGAAGAGTGGATTATGAGACTTTCAAAGCAGTTAACGATGCATGCCTTGTCTATGATGGGAGGCTTGTGATTGATACCAACTTCCACACTAATGATGTGAGCATCAGGGCTGCAGGTCCTTTAACCAAATTTTCCAATATATACTATGCTAATGAATGGACACACAGCAATTTCAACTCAAAAGAGGTTGGTTTTCAGCTTGCTGCAACCATGCTGAATCTTTTTGATCCAACTCTAGAGCCAATTTTTGAACCTCCAGAAGATTTAGATAGACTAATTCCTATGTACAAGGGATGCAAAATTCAAGGTGAGCCAAATACATCTGTTTTTAATAATCTTGCATTTCTATAAATTTCACCTTGATATATCAAAAATATTTTGAAGTAAAAAAAATCAATTCATAATATATCAAATTCAGAAAGATAACATTATTACCCATTGGCAAAATAATTATTTTTCCTGTTCTGTTTGCTGATTTATTTGAGTATTTATAATAACAATGCTCTGGGACTTTAGAATTTAAAGAGACAGGTACCTGCCATATAACCACCCAAACTTAATAATTGTTTAAAAAAAAGATGAAATCTACAGTGGATGTGGCAGTACCTGGAGACAGCAGAAGAGAACTAGAGAAGAAAACAAAATACAATGGTCTACAAATAGAAATAGAACAATTATGGCAAAAGAAAGCAAAGGTAATACCAATAGTAATAGGTGCCTTGGGTGCAAACCCAAAGTAACTGGAACCTCACTTGAAAACCATCAGCACTGACAAAATCACTATCAGTCAATTGCAAAAGCTTTTATTCGAAACAGCTTACATCCTTGCAATTATAACTTCAACACCATCAAAAATCAACACCTGCCTAACCCAGGACCTTGGGAAGGACTTGATAGGTGGATAAAAATGCCAAATACAGTCTGAGCATCTCACTGACTGCACAATGAACCATTGTAATTTATGAATCTTGTATGTCTTGCAATGACTGGGCCACTCATAACAAAGAAAATACAATGAAATCAATGGAACATAAAAGATTGCAAATATGATGAAATGAGAGGTTCCTTCCTTGCCAAAGGCCTGAGTGCTACCCCATCCAAGGTCAGAAGGAAATATCTCCATATCTGGAAATAGCCACAGTCACTTGGCACAAATCTCCATAGCATCCAGGTACTCAGGTTTTGATAGAGTCAATATAATTGAGCAACCTTCTTCCACAGCTATGTGGTCTCACAAATTGGATCTTTTCCAAACTCTGTGTGACCTGAAGAAGCCTCAGGGATCTTGGAATATTTTCAGGACTTCCCAAAAGTTTATTGAGTTAGTAAGAGCCGCCCTCCTCAGCTTCTCCCTCAATGACATAGAGTTCTGCCTTGACTAGCTCATTGGTCATGAAAGCCAGCCAAACACCCAAAAAACACCATGTAGAAGACATCTTCCACACCAACTCCTCTCCAGCAAATTCCTCAGGAACTCTAGGAGGGTTACAAATATTAAAATAACAATGAAATAAAATTACACTGTAAACCTTCAGTAAATAAACTGCAACAAAAATAGGAAACACATATAGAAACAGGAAAATATTTACCTGCTTCCAGAAGTCATTGAGTTTGAGGGCCATTCTCAGGGGGTCAGCTGTTTCACAGGAGGGGAGCTGCCACTAAACCCTGATATCTGATCTCTTCTACCATGCTGCACCTCCTGGTAGAGGGGACCATTAGAACACATTTTCTGGCTGTCAGGATTAAACAGGTAGAGATTACTTAGAAAAGGTGCTAAAAGCCTCCAGGCACTAGGAACTGAATGCAACAAAAATTCATCTATTCTTCCAGTCATCCTGGATTGGTTTTAAAAAATAAAGTACTTTGAAGGCCTAATGATTAACAAATTTACTGATTTCATATAATTTATATGTCTTGATAACATTCTTTTTCACAGGTGGCATTCTACCTGGAAAATATAATTATGTGCATATTTTTAAACCTGGGATTCCTGCTCGCTTGGATGTACAAGAATCACAACCTGATTACGTAAGTACTCCCTAAGTAATAAATAGTGGAGGTTTGAATTACAAGTATCTTGAGAATATTTTTTTTCTTTTCTAGGAAACTTATGGACATATAATAAGCCTCCTATATGAATCAGACAAATTCGTCAAAATGCAACATGAGGTGTAATAGCATTCTGACTGTCACAAAATCATTACAGTGCTTTCGTTCCTCTAGTATATTAATTAAATGCAAAGATTGCCTCCTTTTTTGCTAACAATATTAACAAGCACCTTAAAACAAACACACACACATGTATATGGTATGTTCTTCATTGCCTTTTTTATGCATCACTATCAGTGGTGGAATTCAGGCAGTTTGGGCTGGTTCAGGCAAACCGGATGTTAATTTTCCATTCAGTTCAGCGAACCAGTAGTTCCAAAGACCAGCTGGCCCTGCCCTCCCTGCCCCGCCCCTCCTAGGAGTCCCCATGTGCCTGATTCTGGCTCCTAGGTAAGTGCAGGAAAGCTTGCTAGCCCAAAATGGGACACGGGGGAGGTAGCATGCCCCCCCATGCCCCGTTTTGGCTTTCCTGAGGCTCCAGATAGGCTTGCTAGGTCCAAGGGGTGTGGGAAGGTGCGGCATGCTCCCCCATCCCATTTTGGCTTCCAGGAGGCTCCAGGGAGGCTTATTATGCCCAAAACTGGGCACTGGGGGGGGGGTGCGAAGAAGGAAAGAAAGAGAAAGGAAAAGGGAGGAAAGGGAGAAAGAAATGGAGGGAAGGGAAAAAGAAAGAGAGAGAAAGAAAGAAAGAAAAAGAAAGAGAGAGAGAGAGGGAGGGAGAGAGGGAGGGAGGGAGGGAGGGAATGGAGAAAGAAAGAAAGAGGGAGAGAAGGGAGAAAGAGGGAAGGGAAGGGAAAGTGAATGAGATATGGATGGATGGATTGATGGACGGATGGATAGAGGGAGGGAGGGAGGGAGAGAAAAAGGAGAGAAAGGAAGGACCACAAACCCTGGCACTAGACGCAGCTTCAGAGGATGCTTTGAAACAGCACAACAATCCAGGGCTGGAAGGGACTTTGGAGGTCATCTAGTCCAACCCCCTGTTCATAGAGCATTGTTAAAGTAAGTTTCTCTCTTTTGACCCACCTAGTCACATTACCACCTAGCCACATCCACCCAGTCACATGATCACCTAGCCACACCCACCAAGCCACGCCGGCAGAACCGGTTGTTAAAAAAATTTGAATCCTACCCCTGATCACTATTAAATATATAAGTACCAACCAGTTCTGCTTAGAAGACTTCAACTGCCTCAAAGTCTTTTCCTGTAAAGAAATTGATATAACATTTAAATTGATATAACATTTACATATTGCTGCTAATAATAATGTCTTTGTGGTATATCTAGAAATCCTGTTGCAAGGCATTGATATAAAGTATTTTTGTAGTAACCAAGCTATCTCCCAACCTTCCTTGTTTTCTTCCTGGGGTGAGTAGATTGATATGTGAACTAACTTTGCCTGTTGTCCCAACATTTTTCTCAATTTATTATAGGGGATGGCAATCATAACAGGAGATGCAGTAAAGGGAACTTACTTCAGAATACATGTCAACCAATACAGCAAAATAGAAACCATTACTTGCTTTTCAAAGACACCTATTCCTGTTTCCAACTACATATGTTTATTTGGGCAACATGAACGTCTTCTTAATAATCTTTGTTCTCGCTGGAGGGAGGGGCTGATCTCAAATCTCTATAGGTAAGATAAAGTTTTATTTTGCTTTTGAAATCTATTATAATGCAGGTATTTGGGGCATATTTCACTTAATATGGGGCATATTTTAATTAAAATGTAGCTTATAATGTACTACAAAATTATTGTTGTAGGAGACTTGCCTGTTCACTGTGCTGCTTAAGGCCTGTCCAAAAATATTAATATGCCGTAGAAGCTAATGTTTTGCTTTGCTGACAGACAGTTCTTGATTTTTTAAAAAATTAAAGTAATATGTAAAGAAAAGAGGGTGGGGGCAGAGATTTTTGTTTTAGTAGTATATTGCTGGTTGTAGGCAGCACTTTGCCTGTTGTTGGCTTTTAAAAATAGTTGCTTGATTGCCTTTCGTAGTAGACGCTTGGATGAGAGAATAATGTGTGCATATTTTTTTCTTTATTTTGGAATGCCGAAGGGTTAGTAGGACTCTATTATGTCCAAGTTTTCTCTTCCTTCTCTGTTTGAACTAAGAGATGTTTCCAGACTCAGTGGCTTGATGTCCATCTTGAGGAAAGGCATCCAGCAGCCTCAATCGACATATATTGGAAGTTTTTTAATACATGAATGTCAGCATACTACCAAGCAAAAATATATGAATCTTCAGTTGACATAGTGATTAAATCTCTTTTTTGACATATTAGTTAATTATGCTGAGTTATCTTCAGGGATGGATCAGAATAGTGTGACACTTGTGCAGTTAAAGCCCTGTGTCTTTTTTACATATGCCACATATGCAACAAATGTTAAAAGGGAGATCAGGGATCATGGTTTCAATCATGCAACACCCTCTTGAAGTTTTGACCCTACAGAATTTGCCCTAATGATAAAAACTATTTCTTCAAGGAGTCTTGAGTAGTATATTTTAGCGATAATGTAAATTAGGGAACATGCATGCAAACTGATTTCGATTCCTAGAACCCTAGCAGAAATCCTCTTTATTGCTCCACTTTAGAGCATAAAGAAAAGCTAACACTTCCTTTGAACAAACCATTAAGTCTTAATGTTTCCAACTCACTTTGAAAAGTGGCTTTATCATTTGCATACGTACCTAAGAATCTTGACTATTTTTTTGCCGTACATCAAATGGTTAGTATCTACATAAATTATCAGAGTATATAATCAGAGGAACATAAAAAATGAGAAAGTGACCTGCATAAAGGTATACAGTAAGAGGGAAACAAATGCATTTTATCCCGATGTTGAAAAAATGTGTGTGTGGTTTTTTTAAATGCTAACATTGGAAAATGGAACACTAACAATTCTACACTAAATGGTCATTTTTTTGTTTTTGTTTTAATTTATATTTGATTGTTCTAAGACAGATTCATGCAGTTCCACATCATCTGTCAAATGAAGAAAGACTTGTATATTAAATCACAAATGCTAAATCATAAATTATGTGTTTTGTTTTATAGCAATACTTTTTTCAGAATTCATATAATGTTAAATGGCATCCCTAAAGGTCTTGCTCTACTGAATTAAAGAATAAATCATGCAAATTTTCATATTGTTTATTTATGTGAAAATCTTGGAGTTTTAATTATTTTTGTTCTTAGATTAGAAGTCTGATTCTAGATTATAATTTTAAAACACGATGGTTACCACATTTCTACTAATATATTGAGTTAGGAGTTAGAAAATGCTCAGGAAAGGGTAACAAAGGAACACTTTGAGAACATGTCCTTAGAGGACATGCTAAGTCCCTTGGATAGTGAAATGGGCAATGTCTAACTTTGGTAAATAAATACAGCCCGGAGTAAATATAAAAGATGCATAATATCAGTATACATAAAAAGATTCTACAGGGAAGATGGTTAGAAACTATTTTCCACAGAAACTAGAACAGATTGGATATAAATTGCGACTACCTAGATTTCCTAGGTACTGACAGAGGTTGTGGGTTCTCCATTTCTAAAGTTAGATGTGTATTTTTTTAAAGTTGGACAGCCACTTCTCAAGGATTGTTAAACTGGTTTTCCAGAATATTGCAGAGGGTTGGATTACATTATTTTTGTAATTCCAGAATTCTGTAATTCAGACAATACCTAAACCAAAGCTATATTATGGCTTCACATAATATATTTGACCTCAGAATGTCAAGATACTGAAGGAAATTGTAGCAAGTATAATACATCTTCCAAAATTTATTATAGATATATCCTAATGCCATCTGTGCCAGTACTAAGAACTCTTTAACATTTTAATAGTTCATTACTTTCCATTCAAAATGGAAGACCCTGTATTTTTCTTCCAAGATTTTAAAATTTAACTATAGCATTTTAGGACAAAATATAGGAATAGACATTTTTGTATTATTTTACAGTCTTGCAATAAAGAGCACATTTAATATAGTATTATACTACATGTAAAGGTACAGTGGACAGACCAAGTGATCCATGTCTACTTGGGCTTAAAATTCAATATCTCTGATATTTATCCTACATTATCTAACAAATAAACAATAAACAAATATAATTAGTTAATAATATAGTCCATTTTAAGTACACCATTATTGCATTTTTCTAAGTTCTTCACTCCAAGGCTAAAGTACGCTTTAAAAAATCCTTTTATAACTGGATTAGTTTCCCCCAGCATGGTAGCCAATGCCAAGAATGAACTCAGTGAAACAGCTGTCACTTGGGAATTAATTCGCCTCTTTGTGACATGCAAATTATCTTTTAAATTAGAGGCCATATCTAGCCATGAATTGTATTCATCAGGTTCAAAGTTTAAACCCTTTGGTGATGAATTTTGTGAATGCAGAATTGTGTTTCAAAATTAGTTAAATTTAGAAGTGATCTACAAGAATAATAAATCCCACCATAAATCTGACAATACTGGTTCTTCTACAAGCTCATCTTTTATATTCTAGTTGAGTTAATCCCTGCTCTCTGTAACTGGAGCTTCAGATGCAGCACTTTTTTCAATTAATAAACTGGCTTTTGTCAGGCAAGATCTTACAGCTATTCTGTTTTCCTGAAAGTGACTAGTTTTTCCATTATTTCTCACTGAACTGAAAAAATTAGGACACAACATTTTTAAAAGTAGATTTTGGTTAGCATCCCACTATTAAAATAATTATTTGGAGCTGTAAGCTTCTGCTAAATACTCTCTTATAAATTATAACATTACCATTTTAGCTCCTTGTTAAGGTGGGAGAAGCCCATTTGTTGGGAATGCATACAAATAACAGATGTCAGGTAAAATTTGACATGCTGGATTTCTTCTTCTGTGATTTCGAATGTGATTTCAATGTGCTGGAATCAGTTCTGAGTTTTAACAAGACATTTTTCCAACATGAAAAACTCTAGCTGCAAATCTACAAAAATATGTACATTTTGAATTTTAAGAAAATCATTTTCTTAAAAATCAACCCAGTACAACTGAGAAGAAGCCAAAGATGCTTTCCTTTCTAATAATTATTACAGAATCTTTTCAAGTATATTTTATGAATATTTTGTGATAATCAGATTTTCCTGCAGTGATTCAAGTCCCAAGAAATTGTAAACAAAATTATATTAAATGGTCAAAATCTTTCAAAATCAGCAAATCTTGCAACTTCCTTGTTATCTTACCTCTGAGATCTTGCTTGATCTTAGGTATGATGAAATCACACATATAAAATTTGATATTGCTTGAACTTTGATGAAAGTTTGGCTCTCAAATGATTTGTAAGACCCAGAAACCTCATAGTGTTTGATGTTCTAAGAAAAAATTATCAAATTATTTTAGTTAATTATTATTTTTATCCAGCTTTGATCTCACATAATGCCTTGATGATTCTGTAGAACAGAACAGAAAGTCACAGCCAACAAGAGACAATATCAATTAGAAACCAAATATAACTGATATAACTAAAAGACAATCACCTTATACTAAGGTCTTGAAGAAGAACATTAAAAAAATTGTTTCTAAACTTCACAAGGATGGGAGCCATACAAACCTTTTGAGTGATAGTTTCAGAAAATAGATGCTGCAACATTAGATGCCATTGTTTAATATATAGGATTCTGAGTTCATCCATTCTGCTTGATTGTATCAAATGGGCAGAGGCAGTTTGAATTAAGGGATCACTCAGACAGCCAGGTCCTGTGTCATGAAGGGTTTTAAATTTGATAGCTAGCATTGAGAATTACATCTGTGCAGCTCAGTTTTTAAAATTGATTTTTTAAATTTAACTTTCACATTTTACAAAAATCTTCTAGAAGCTTCATAGGCAAGATGGTACCCAGTTGGTGTTTTGTATTGTTTGACTTTATGACATTTGCTGCAACCCTATATTGAAAAATATGCATGCTCATCACAGCTGCTGATGACTCTATAGCTCTCTGCTCATAAGACGTTCTTGCACTATGCATAAACCTATCATTAAAAATCATGCTACAGTTGAAAAAAAGTTTTAAAAGTTTTTTTGTTTGTATACGTTTTTTCAAGAGAGCTTGCTTGTTTACTAAATGGTTGTTCATTAATCCTGTTTTTCACTTTCCTCTTTCCTCTTTTTTATTTTATCTCTTTTATCTCGTTAGTATAATGATTAGACTACTGCAAGATATTCCAGGTGGGGCTAGTCTTGGAGAATGCTTATAATGATGTAAAAAGCTACAGTTTAGTTGCTAATCAATGCACGATAACAACATCACATTATGCCTTTCCACATTATCTGTAGAAAGACCAGTACTAGTTGCCAATTCTTTTTCAGATTCTATACAGTGATTAGTTAGGGTTAACCTTAAAATCCTTAAATGGCTTAGAGTCATTATCTATATGATTCTCTAATTGTATGAACATGTTCAGGAACTATAGGAGTCCTCAACTTACGACCACAATTGAACCCAAAATTTATGCTGCTAAGTGAGAAATTTGTTAAGTAAGTGCATCTTACCCTATTTTATGACTTTTCTTGCCATGTTTGTTAAGTGAATTACTTGTTGTTGTTTGTTGTTAAATTAGTAACATGGTTGTTAAGTGAATCCAGCATCCCCATTGAATTT